TGGGTCTGTTCCAGCTCCTCCCTCATCTGAAGGCGCTACTGATCTCCCTTACCGCCTCAGCTACCCTCTCCCTGCCTCTATCGCCGATTTAATCGTGGCACCTCAGAGGGCGTGGGGGTGTTTGTACCTTGCCAGCGGATAGCCTCGGGCTTCTGGAGATGCTGTACGTAGCTCCCAGAGGACTCGAGCACTGCTGCTAGCAGGTGCACCCACACAGCCTCTGTGCAGAATCAAGCCACAAATAATTAAATTAGTTTCACCTTTAAAAATTTTCAAAGACATGGCTTTTTTTAGCTACAGTCTGCCAGCTCTGTTCCCTCTAACAGAAAAGGTGGTGTGTTTGCTCAAAAAAGAGAAGGAAACTTAACTTTTGTACTTTACTCAAACGGAAGTCTCCACATGACATTAATCTTTTGTTTCCCCACTGAAATTCCTCATGTAATCAGGTGTGTGGGGGAAGCAGCAAGCACCTGTAGGCGTTGACAGCCCCCCCGGCACCACACACCGTAGGACCCGTTGGTAAAGCCTAGCCCGCGGCCTTGGAGAGAGAAAGATCCCCACTAGCACCACACACGCTAACTGTGCTGGGCGTAATAGCTCTGGAGTTCGTACATGGAACAAGATTCATAAACCTCATTTTCCTTTCTAATAACCTGAGACCGATGCATGTGCCCTTTGGCTGGAGAAAAACCAATAAAGCTGACTGCTATGCTAGCCCACGCAAGTTCTTTGATCACACTCCTGGCATCAGCAACACGTTACTTTGTTGTTTTGTGAAAGATCAATAAAGTTATGTTCAAACCCAAGGGAAATGCAGGAACTCAGAATGTTCAGTCTACTGGTAAGAACAGACCAGTCCATCTCTACCTGTGACACTTTTGCACAGTTCTAGTTTGTCTATGGTATTGCCACAGCTGGTTTCAGGGGCTTTTTTTTTTTTCCCCCAGTTGTCTTGTGGTCAGAAGATAAAAGACATCTTTCTCACTCAAGAGAGCTGCATCGTTGTAGAAACAGGGAGGCAAAGGTTTGCAGTAAGAAAGTTTTAGCATGCTCCACTTGCAGAAAGGCAGTCAGTCTTAACAGGTAGCACAGAGTTAGGTGATGTGTATCAGCACGAACAGGCTCCTTTCCTCAAGAAAAAAACTGACGACTCAGTCAAATGGTGAGAGAACTCAAGTGTATAGAAATCACGGCTGGTAGTTTTATTTTATCAACTAAGTGTGCACACATTCCAGGAAAACAGTCAAGGGGATTTCTTGGGGCTCTGAGGTATCGTATTAAATCTGGCTATGGCAGGTGACACAGGTTGCTCTAAGCCTTTCAAGGTCTAGGTAAGGTTTTTAAAGTTATTGCTCCAAACTTGATCAACACAAACCTGCACAGCACACTGAAGACAAAAATAGTAGCTTGATGATTAGTTCACCTAAACCCCACACTGACTTAACCAATTAAGAAATACCCACTTGGTAAGCAATGGGAACTGTCACTTACAGAATCATAGAATCATTATGGTTGGAAGAGACCTCAAAGATCATCAGGTCCAACTGTATACCTGATGCCACAGTGCCCACTAAACCATGTCTTGAAGCACCACATCTAAACGTTTTTTGAACATCTCCAGGGACAATGACTCCACCACCTCCCTAGGGAGCCCATTCCAATGCTTAACAACTCTAACAGTGAAGAAGTTCTTTCTAATGTTGAGCCTGAAACAAAACATTTGTTCTTCCTCTTTACCTCATATGCCTTTAAATAAAGAGCTCTCTTTTGTAGTGGTTTCTATTCAATTACACTAAGTTTCATTTAATCCTGATAAATCAAGTTTATTGCAGCAGACAGCAGAGCGATGAATTACAGTGCTTTTTAGAGTGGCTTGAAGGGAATACCGTGGCTTGATGCTCTACATTAATAACAACCTTAGTAGTAGTAACTCCCATGAAGTGCTAAAGGAGACAAGTTGTTATGCTTAAGCACTGCTTTAATAGTTCTACACTGGCGCAGGACAACAGCTTTCTTGGATTCTCCCTGGAAAATGAGAGAGCTATAAATATATAGCTTCTGCTATATATGTAGTTGAAACAGCCTGTGTAGTTTTGTCATGCAAATTCAATCTTCAGCCTCGTACTAACGTGACTGGTACAAGAAATCCATTACATGACTGCACTGCTACGACAAGTCCTCCTTTAGTAACCATGATGGAGATGGATACAAGTTTGACACGTGACTAGCATTCTCCAGTGACAATTCTAACTTTATCAAAATGCTAATCTCATTATCAAATAAAAACACTTTCTTTAAAGATTTTTAATTATTGTAATTGTAATCTGCAGCCCAAACTACTACTATCCCCCAGTTGCTTGCATTATCCCTTTAAAAAAGTGGTATGCAAGCTTTCCTGAGAAGGACAAGGGCCCTAGGCTTTCCTCATTAACACCATGGCTATTTTAGCTAAGCATAATAGAATGGACTTTTCTTTCCCCCTTTCTCACATGATGCACAGCATCAAATATTGCATGTAAAATGTTACTTGATCCAAGAAAGAGCAAGCAGTTCCTGCTGCCCACCTTTTTCCAGCCAGAGGAAACACTTCAGCGTACAACTTCTGCAGAGATCCTTCACAGGGCTGTTATGACTGTTAACGGAACTAACAGCAACGTAAGTATCACAGAAAGCATTAAACTGCTTGACAGAAGTAATATAATAACTAGCAATCGTTCTAGTACTACATTAAAATCTTTTACCTTGTTATGTAGATAATGTCTGTTTTGCAACAGGGCACCTGTCTCACTGCACAGAATGAGCTAACACCTGTAAGATAATTGGGAGCATTTAACAAATATGATCACGCTTTGTAGAACGCCACTCCGTTTCTTGCAGAGGTGGATAAAATCAAGGCCAAAATTGCAGAAGAAAGTCTCAGGTGAATGCGGTCCTGAGGAAAGTGTCTCCAGCCCTGTTCTGCCAGTGGGTTCTTAACGTGACATGTCACCACCCATTCAACACCCCCCACTCTCCCAACGCTTACTGATGTTCTGAGAGAGTAAGTAGTATGTCTTGCGGATGCTGGAGAAACTTTTGCAGCAACATGAAGTAACTGCCACAGCAGTTTTAGTTAACAACAACTGCACTTCAAAGAGAAAGAACATCTAAGTTCTCTAGCATATCCTAAATTGGGCACCAAAACTTGGCAAGTGTTCAGTAACTATGGCTTGGATTCTGTCTCAGATGCCCTCATCTACAGAATAAGGCTATTACTCATCTTTCAGATTAACATTGATGAAAAATCCAATACAGCAAAAATCAGAGAAAGTCCCATAGGGAAATTAAATACATATATATAGTGCTGGGTTTAGATGACACACACTATATTAGACTTGGACCTGCACAACTGAACTTAAACCCCCCCTATTATTCAATGAACACTATCCACTGTGTACGCTGAATGAAACAAGAGTCCCATAGAAAAAAAAAACACACAGCACTTGATAATGTAATAATACACAAGGGAAAAAGAAAGAAGACAGCTTTACATTAGCCACTTCCTAATTTTTGAACATTTCCCTTAGTAATCTTGGTGTTTAATATTTTTAAAACAGTGTTTTAATATTACCTGGTAAAATGAAGGCATAATACTCTCTTTTTTTTTTTTTTCTCTTTTCTCTCCTTTTCTTTCTTCCATGTATAGTTAGATTAAGCTGCTTTAGTATTTGTTGGTTTCTTGTTTTTCACAAGAGAGTGAGCTTCCCAGCCAGGTAACAAATGTTGGAAAAGATGGAGTATGGGCTGCATACAAAGAAATTACTAGAGGTCACACCGCATGAGAAAGCTGTAAAAACACAGCGTTAAGAGGAAAAAAAAAAAAGATTTTAACTGTACGGACTGCTTTGTATTATATCCACATCTACCACCAGCACAGAAACTGTGTGTTCAACAATTTATTACAATGAATGAATTTCCCTGCTTTTCAAGCGAGATCCTGGTATCCTAGCTGTACTCTCAATTGAATGCATGCAAAAGTTGCCCTCCAACAGAAGAAATATGCATGATGCAAGCATCCATACACATCAACCAACAAAGGTTTTCATTCAAGTCTTTTATTATAGCTTGAATTTTTTCACTGCATTTAAAAATCTAAAAAAAATAAATATTTGTTTCACAGCTGCAAGTCACATATGCATCAACACCACAAAATCTGGAATTTAACCAGAGAAGGAAAGTCAAATCCGAAAGTGTCCAGCTAAGCACAACCATCTCAGGGTAATTATACTAAAAATAAAATCTTAAGAAAAGGGGAGGGGAGTGTTAAAGAGTTATTTCAAATGCATTTATCTGGAAAAAAGTGAAAATTCTATTAGAAACCATAAACTACGCTTTCAGCATTTAAAAATAAACGTTTAACCTCTTGACAGCAACAACTGTCTGGTGCATCTTTTTCTTTTAAGCTGCGTTCTTCACACATGGCTGTAGAGGTTTCAAATGATAAGTTAACCTCTTTTATAATTGTGTCCACATAATTACAGAATCAGTCCTTAAAAATAAAAGTGTATTAAGTCAGCTTGTCCATCCACATATTAAAAATGCCATTGTATGCAGTTTTGTATCGGCACTAAGTGACTGCCTCATGGATTGTACATTGTGAAGATGAATGTCTCTTAAACAATCACTTTCATCATTAAGGTTCTTAAAACAAACCAGAAAAATAGATATCTTCAGAAATCAGAGTAGTCACTTTTTTTGTTAAAAGCCATAAAATAAGCTCATATTCAATTACAAGCAATAGAAACCATACTGCTATTGGAACATAATTATTTTATCACAAAAATTTATTATTTACAAAATGAAAAGTTACCAAGTGAATTTATCAGGGAAAAAGTTAAATGTTCTTACTAAGTGATTTGAAAAACTTAAGCAAGTCTCTCATGCACTCACACGCCAAATTGTTTGCATAAGGTGAAATGTTAATTCATGTTAGTGAAACTTGACTCCCATTCACAATACTCTCATTTTTATTGTAAGATGGCAAAATCCACATGGTTCTGTACAAGAAGGTATGTATTAAGACAGTTCCTCATTTTCGTAAGTGTTTTTTTGGCTCCCGTGAATATTCGTACCACTGAACATTTTTGCAAATAATCAGTTATGTTATCAACTCCATCATTTAATCCACTGAATTTACCACCACAAAAGACACACAAAGTTAGTTTAATGATCCCACGTTACACAGAACTCTCATTTCTGAAGTTATACTAAACTGAAACCTTCATAGTGATCTATAGCCTGGATCAACTTTGATTTTAGGGTTTCTTTATCTGTGTATTTTGGAAGATCAAGAAGATTAAAGCAAGTGTGAGCTACTGGAAGATAACCTTCTCCGCCTCCTGTTGGCTGGATGACTAGTTTAAGACACTTCATTCCAAGAATTGGAATACGATCACTGCCCGTCAGAAACACTGCCAAGAGAAGACAAACAAACAAAGGCTTGAAAGTAGTTTAAGACTAATATTATATATGTCATATATGCAGTTCCAATCATTGCATTTTTTAATTATTCCAGCAATGCTTAGCTTTTCACACTGAAGTTGTTCTGGTAAGTTTGAAAAACAGGGAATGATGACTTAACCCAGCCTCCAGCTTACACACATGAACCCTTAACTGTAACACAACAAGTGATACATAAAGGAAAATATTTCATTTTAACATATGAAACCAAACAGTCCTTAAACAACAACAACAAAAAAAGTGTGTGTGTGGGAAATAGTAGGAAGTTCTTCATGCATCAGAATTTGTTATTTAAAATTCATTGCCTATACCTTTACTAAGCATTTGCAAGCATCTTGTTAACACACAGAATGAAGTTTGTTCAATAAGAAATCTATCTGAATTGGAAACTAATCTATGACTTCTTCTCAACAAAAGCTCATTCACAGGAAGCTTCGATAACTTTTTTTTTTCCCCTGTACAATTCTACTCATATGAGTACCTTGACATGTTTACAATCAGTTATAACTGAAAAATTCCACCTATGTGCAATGAAAAAACTGGACATGTGAACCTTCTGTCAAAACAGAAAAAAATATCCCTAGTCATGAGATAAATACCACTAGCAGTTTAGGTTGTTGGGTTTTTTGGAGGTTAGGTTAGGTTCTCTTTTTCTTTTTTTGTTTTTTTAATTAATTTTTTTTTATGCTGCTCTGATCTACTGTGATCTTGTAACTGCCCATGACCCAGAATTACTCAGGACAACCTCAGCAAAATCAGAGACAAGCTCATAATCGATTTCTTCTACTATGATTTTTTTCTTCCAGATAAAGTTAAAGACATCATTATAGATAAATATTTATGACTACCCTGTTATAGCAAGAGCCTGAAATCATAGCGACCCTGTTCAGCTAGCAACTTCTGCGAAATAGTCTGAAATACTTACGCAAAAACTGTTTTTTCTTCTCCAAAGACAATCCATGGAAAACCTCCCAGAATATTTTAATTGTAGGATGGTCTGCCCAGTATTCTCCTTTGTATTCTGTATTCTAAAATGAGCAGGAAATTAGGTTATTGTTTGCATGTAGAACTAGTAGGATAATCTGACATTAAAGTAGAATGAACGCGGTTTGTGTAAAGGGATACCGCAAGTGACATGTTACTGTTTTCCTTGGTCAATTTTCTTCAGCTGTTCAGTCCGTCTTCAACTATATGGACAGATGCAAGTACTCCAAAGCATTTTCAATCCCGATAAAGTAGTGACAAAGTCTCACAGTGAGTTTTGGCAATCAAGAATATTTACTTGTATTAACTGTATGCATTTTGTTCACTTTCCTCCTTTAACATAATACATTCTATACAGCTGCCTTTTGGTTCTGTGGATTTTTCTTCCTCTCTCTTCTAAGTCTAACTTCCATCAGAAATTAGATGGAAAAACTTTAAACAGGAAGGTAAATAATATTTTAGTGTCTTCATTCACTGACATTTTAAAAAAAGAAGTTCCTCACTCATGCAGTCAATCCCATCAACGCTGGAAGTCATGTTAATCAAAACAGAGCTCAAAAGGATACTTCAAGATTTTGCTTTTGCATCTTGAAAGTAAAAATATACGAAACAAATAGCTAACTATGGTTCTTACCTTCTCCAATTCTTTCCAGTCATAATTTGTGTTCCCAATCACCATTGCCTGCAACTCGCTGGGCTGGAAGAGCTGAAGAACTTTACCTCCACATACTTTGTGGAAGCCTGCATGGAATGCACTGAATAAGGAAGCCACAGATTTATTGAAGATGTAATCCACGTATGCATCTACAAAATCTTGCCTGTACAAAGAAGAAAAAGATAATTACGTTGAGAGAGAGAGGGAGGGGAAAAAAAGAGCACGTGTCACCCTTCTCCCAATAAAACAGTAGCCACTTCTGTATAGAACACAGCATAGAAAGTTAAGCAAAAAGGATCCTATTATATTCTGTGCTTCATGTTACAACCATAGTGAAGATAACGTCAATGAAAATGGCGCATAAACTATTTCCCCACCACGCCCAAGACAGATTCTGTAAATTGCAACAGAAAAACAGTAACATTTAGCATTATTTACTTCAAGCACTATAAATACTTCTCTTATTTGCAAGCATTGCAGAGAATTGGACCGAATGGCAACAAGCTTAAAGGCTTGAATTACATGCAGTGTCCTGAAACCGACTAGTCAAACACGCTGTTGTATTTTTTTAATTAAAAAGTTTACCATATCTGCACTAAAAATGCAAATCAACTTCAAACAGACATTTGAGTCCTATACAGTAGAAAGGTCAGCGCAAAGGAGCTAGGATACTGAAAAACAGACAGCCTGTTATGCATGCTTCAGAACAAGCAGTTCTTGTATCTTGTTGGAAACACTATCTTCCGCAGCATTTAGGGGGAGAACTAAAATTCCTTGACTGTATTTGACTAACATCACCAATAATTTAAAGAATCATCTAAACACATTTTGATGATACATTTATTAAAGTTGTTGAACTAAAAATACTGGAGACAAGCAAAGTGGTGAATGACACACCTCCTCTTCCGGTACTCAATGACATATCCACTTGATGCATGCTATGTAATTAGCAGAGAGGCGGGTAACTTGTGTAATACTAACAGTGGAAGGAAAGGCTGCTCCAGAGAAAATTCATATTAATAAACTAATTAGCATTGTACTCTATGTTAATATTTTAAAAACTGAATTAAAGCATCGTGAAATATTTGGATCGTGAGAAACAGGAATCTTCGTTGCGGCCAGACAATGGGTGACGGCAGTGCAGCGTACATTCCATGGGCACCTTGAAACTTTTCTCATAATTCAACTCCAATTTTACTGTCACTTTGTGACAGAACACCAAACCACCATCAGAGAACTTCAAAGCTATCATGTTTAAGATAAAGTATCACAAATCCTCAGCTATGAGCCAAGGATTTAAAAAAAAAAAAAAAAAAAAAACAACAAAACTGCGACAAGTATAGGTGGTTATTGCAGTTATTAATGGTAGGGTAAGTCAGGAGGATAAAAATCACTCTGTTGTGGGAGGTACCATCACTGCACATGGCTGCATGCGGGGATACCCTCAGAATCTTCTGTCATC